GCCACATCAACCACAACGGCTGTCCTCTGTTGATTGTCCACCACCTCAATGTCCGGTTGGTTCTCCATCAACATTTTGTCAGTCTGGATCTGGAAGTCCCACAGGAGCTTGGCTCTCTGGTTCTCAACCACTTTAGGGGATGTTACACACTTTAACCCTGGGGCTTGCCATCCATACTCTGCACAGATGTTTCTGGACACGATGCCAGCCACTTGGTTTTGGCGTTCCATGTATGCTTTCCCTGCCAGCATCTTCCACCCTGCAGTTATGTGCTGGATTGTCTCATGGGACTCTTTGCATAGCCTACACATTTGGTCTTGTCTGGTGTGGTAGATCTTAGCCTCTCTGGTGTTCAGAGCCTGTTCCTATTCTGTATTGTGTGTACACACACACACACACATTAACATTTCTGAAATGATTCCTCACTGTCACATGACTAAAAAACGATGCATCATCACCTGCCTCACCCTCTGAAACAGACACACAATAAAATAAGATGGATAAAAATACAGGTTGTTAATATTGACCCAGTTTTACTTCTCAGACCTGAAACCAATTTGTTTATAAATGACTAACATCAGCCAATACCAATATTGATGCCCCTAGTTTACACAGTTTATTTAAAATTTATACTAAATATTTATGTAATTATGTGAAGAGTTCAGTATTTAAATGCAACAACATGCACATGTTGTAAGGAGCTGGAGTGTGCTGCACTCTTTATATTTAACTTGTAATTTTCTTGATAAATGTGGTGAAAATGTAACATTAAATATTTCACATACTGTTTTCATTAAGAGAACCAAAAATATACAGTTTTGTTCACAATTTATTCTACATCTTTACTGATGCAGTACAGCTGTTAGTATATGTTTGACTTCTTCATTACACACTCATAAAATAGCACTCTGTTGCAGTCATGACCCTGGAATCTTGTTTTTTTTTATTCTTGGGAATTTCCCTTAACGGAGTTTGAGCTCCCGTAGCTTAATCACCACTGGGATTTATCCAGTTTTTTACCCGTTCACCCAGGAGGCCGGCTGCAGCGAAAGCTTTGTTTCCATATAACAAACGGTGGAATTAAACACACGTTTTTGTAAAGGTTTGACCAATAAAAAAGCTAAAGTTGTATTTTTAAAATCGCCTCTCTACGAGATTTCTCTGTTTTACTTGGAACTTCAGTGTGAGTTTAATCAGCGAGAAGCCTTTAATTCTTTCTGAAAATCAAGTGCTGTGTTCTGGGAATTGACTCCATCTTTGGTGTGTGTGTGTGTGTGTGTGTGTGTGTGTGTGTGTGTGTGTGTGTGTGTGTGTGTGTGTGTGTGTGTGTGTGTGTGTGTGTGTGTGTGTGTGTGTGTGTGTGTGTGTGTGTTATAGAATATGTGTTCATGTGGTGTGTGTGAGTGCATGCGCGGGAGGGAGGAGGGTAACACAATGCTGCCTCAGCACATTACCAGCTGTTTTCTTGGCTTTGTAAACTCTGACTCTATCGTGTACACGTCTGTCACACCAACCAGTTATCCTCTGATCTGCTGTCTGCTTCTTACTTGGGGATTAACAGGGATTTTAGGAAATATTGTTAACTAAACTAAATAAAATAGAGTTTGGTGAAGACAAACTCATTTTGAAGGGAATGTAGCTAGCTAATCAGTAGAAAGCTCCCTGGAATGGTCAGAAAAAAGTCCTAAAATGTTTTTGGTCTAGTTAATGAAAGTAGAAACAAACACCGGCTCATCAGAATTCTGTTTTATTACCAAGTAAGGCCTGGAATATACTTGCTGGTTAATGACGTGTATGTATGTTTATAATGGCTGCCTCGCATTACTTGCATTGATTTGAAACACAGTTCGTGCGCGCCCAATATAATTAATGCAACACGTTTGCACGCTGCAATACGCCAGTAACCTGTAGGTGGAGTTGACAAAATGAGCGACACACATTCGCCATGGTCACTCTATCTCTGGTTTAGAGGTGGAGCTACCCTGGCAGTGGCCCATGTGTATCACACAGTGATGGAGGAAGTGAGGATGGACTCAGTGATGGTCGTGTTGAGCTGGACCATCATCATGGTCGGCATACTGAGTTTCCTCAGCTGCTGCAGGAAGAACATCCTCTGCTGAGCCTTTTTGATGAGGAAGCACTTGAGGTCGTGGGTGATGGTGGTCCAAAGAAAGTGGAGGGAGTCCACGGTTGAGAGAGGGGTCTCCGTCCGGGTTATGGGGCCAGTAGAGTTCACAACCATCTTCACGGTCTTTTAGGCAACAAGCTCCAGGTTGTTGTTGCTATGCATCCAAAACAAGTCAAGCTACGCGGTTAGATCGGGCCACACAGAAAATCAAACAGGAAAACTGTAAAACAGCTGGAAACTTTCTAAATAAAGGTCACGTGCAGATACACGTACGTCACTTCCTTTATTTATTTTTTTAACTTTTCCTGGATCCTGTCTGGCTGTGAAGAAAACAGAATTGATGTCCGAATGCTGATGACAAGCCTTACAGATTTACTCTCAGGTGGAACATCAAAGCAAAGGGGGCAGGGGCTTTTCTGGTTACAGTCTCCCTGGGGTACCTGCACTCTGGGGCAGCTCCTGGATCTCTGGGACTTGGAGCTCCCTCCAACTCCTACACATCTTTGAGGGGCATATATGTGGCCCCTCACACTCTATATTGGACGCTCCTACAGAGAAACCTTACATAAACAAGCACCTGTACACACACAGGTGCTCACATGGTGCTCTCATAAGTATGGACTTGAGCATGTTCAACACGTATCTTAAGGCTGTGGTTGGCACTAAATGCGCTATGATTTATTATCGTGTGATTGTTCAGTAAAACAATGTTGATTTTATATTTCCCCATCAGGTTGATGCAGCGATAGCTTGCTCCTGATGTATTGTTGTGTGTCCCTTTTCTGCAGGTCTAGAAGCAGACTCTTGTTCATCATTGATTGTTTATTTTTGTGGACCTCTGTCTCCATGTCTGGTCAAAATTATAAAGCATTCAAAAAACAATGACAATAAAGTTTTAAGTATCAGACGTGACATTGTTTAGGGACATTATGGGATAGATAGCCTACACAACGCAGAGACACGTTGCCCGAAATTTTCTTTATTGCTCTTTTGAGTGAAAAGTGGAAAACATGCAATTATTCCAATGGTACTATGAAAGTAACTATATTCTAAATACCACGTATTAAAATAGTAACTGTAACTGATTATAGGTAGTATTCTAAATACATTTCTTCCGTTACTCCCCAACACTGCTTAATTCACACAGTTATGTTATTTGAACCTGCTAAAGTGGGCGTCAACCGGCGCGGCCATGTTTGTTTTGCTTAGCCGGACGCTTGATACTATCATCAGAACCATCAGCCACCCTACAGCACAGTGCTGACACATGATTGGATCGGCCTATGGCCGGAGGTCAGACGGGTTGAACTGGAGCAGTGCAAGACAGATTCTCTTGAGTTTGGAAAACTCCAAATCTTGCGAGAAATCATCTTGCAGCGCAAGGTTAGATGTTTAGAGCCAAAACAACACAACTGAAAAGTCCTTCTAAGTACCATGTATCAATGAATTACAGCATGAAGACACTCAGCAAACAACATCTAAAAAAAATAAAAAAACTTCAATTTTTGGTTTTTTAAAAATACAAAAATGGGAACTTGTACTTTCCTGGATTCTAGATTTTGGGGAACTAGTGTTAGAATCCGTCATGTTGTTGGACTTACTGGCCACATTCTGCCATGGTTTTAATAACACTTGTCTGAGAGGTCCTTTTCTATCACTGAGAAAAATCACTCCTCATCCTCAACACCGTTTTTGCTGTTGAGTACCCAAAGCTCAGTTATTTGCCCTTTTATATTCTTGTACTGGTTGTCTTTACAATTTAAAGGATCTTGGATCATCATTTTAGCACCCTGGTATGTAAATGCACTGCTTTAATTTGAATTCATGAATTTAAAGTTGTTCTTTAGACTTAAGGTGTGTGTTCTCCAGCAGATTTGGATATTTGACTTTCGTACAAATCTTGAGATCATACAATTCCAGCTCCAGAGGTATCTTTTTCACAAGGATTATTTCATTGTCAGGAAAACATTTTCCCCACCGCCTCTTTTCTTGTAAAGTAGCACGTTGGCTGAAGATCCAAGAGAATGGGAGAAATATAATACTTGGGTGCCATTTCCCATAGATTGTATCATTTCTCTGAACTATTTGTTGCTGAGGTTGCTGCTTTTCTCTCCGTTTGATCATTTTCTCCTCTCGGACGTCTTTCAAGACTCCAGCTTCATTTTCCTCACCAAGCAAATCAGCCGTTTTCTGACAGATAACAAAGTAGGTCAGGAAATGAAAGGCAAGACAGAAAACGATGAACAATGGTGGAGGAAAAGAGGGAATCAAAGATGAGAAAAGATTGAAAGATTAATGACTTTAGGCGTATTGTTGCCAAAATCCTTTGTGAGAAAGTTTCTACTTCTAGGTTTTGTGTCGTAACTGAAAACATGGAAGTTTCCCACTGAGTTTTGTTAGATAACCCTACTATAGACATTCTATACATAACCATCTCTGCCACAAATAAACGTTTTGTCTTGTTTTACTGAAGCCAGTTGGACACAAACCAAGACTGCAGGGTGTGCAAGCATGAGCAGGATGACATAATTTGGCTTTTGAATGTGTGTTTTAATACACACCACCTCTCTATTCCTGGCTGTGGACCAACCACTGGTCTCCTTGTTTTTTTATTCATTTTATTCATTTTTATTCCTGGCAGTTGTAGCAGACAGAAAGGTCGATCTGGATGCCATAAGATGCCAAAGCAGTTTTAATCTACAGCAAGAGAGATGTGGGATGTTCCTCTCATTTTATTGTGTTTGTGGCATTTTAGACCGCATTCGCTTACGCACCAGAGTGGACAGCAGGGTAAAAAGAGAAACATAACGTGTGTGTGTGTGTGTGTGTGTGTGTGTGAGTGTGTGAGTGTGTGTGTGTGTGTGTGTGTGTGTGTGTGTGTGTGTGTGTGTGTGTGTGTGTGTGTGTGTGTGTGTGTGTGTGTCCTAACATTTCTCTCGGTGTGGGTTCCCATGGGTGGGAGCACACCCACCTAAGGAGGTCCAAAATCCAAGTGGGGCCCAAAATGGTGGACCCCACTCCGATTTCAATTAAAATGAGCTCAGCAGCCTCCCCTGATGCTACCATTGCTTTTTTTTTCATGTCAAAAAATTGTCCCCTAAGGTAGCAAAAAGTGGGCAAGTGTGTAAAGGTGTGTATCCTGCAGCCGACCGTAACCGGAAGTCAGGATATACACTTCCCGCAAAATCTTATACACACCGCGGGAGTCTGAAACCTTTGGCCAATGACATTGCTGCACTGAGGAAAACTACCGGAAGTTCACAACAAGAAGAAAACAACACGGATTGAAGACAAAAAGAAGACGGAGTGATTGGATTATTTTGAATATTTTTACATTTACCGACCTCTGCATGCAGCAGGTAAGCTAGGCATGGTTCAGAAGAGTTTATATTTTGGCGTTCTGTTGGGATGTATTTAAGCTGGCTGCCATGTGGCTAACTTTAGCAACATAATATTATAAATAGTTCGTTGTTTACTCACCCAGACAAGTTTGGAGTTATTTGGAGCCGCTCAGAAGGAGTTTTTTTATCGAGTCGCCATCAGCTTATATCCATATAATGCCAATGGGAGCAAAACTGCAGGAGTTGTTGCTGCATTATCTGCCCTCAAACTCCTTCATTTAACCAAGTGTTCTTATTAAACGTTAACACTACTCCCATCGGAGTTCAGAAAATCTCGTAAGTGTTTATTTGTTCGGTTTGGGGTGATTTCAAGGCAAAAATACAACAATATTGTGCGATTAAAACAGCGTCACGGCTAGTCGCCATCTTGGTTGTAGTCCGGCCAGCACTTTAACTCTGTGCTCTGCAACGGTCGGTTTGACAGAACTTGCTGCTGTTGACATCAGTGTAGTTCGGGTTTGCGTGTTTCCAAATTGCAATAATCGAATGACCAATTGGACTAAATTCAGCTTCTACAGACTCTTTCAGCAACCTACGCGGACTACAGCCGTAATGGCGGAGGGCTGCAACGTTATTGAAATCTCAGTTGGAATCGGTTGCATTAAAAGCCTGTAAAACTCCAGAAGCTAATATGTTAGCACCTTTGAGACGTGCTGAACTCACAGAGGAATTTTTTTTAACTATTCTCAACAAAACATTGTTAAATGAAGGAGTTTTGGGGCAGATAATCTTATAATATCCTGCCCTGATAGGCTCCCATTATATGGATATACAGTGATAGCAACCTGATTAAAACTCCTCCTGAACTACGCCAAGTAGGTCCACACTTGTCTGGGTGAGTAAATTAACGTAATATTTGTTAAAAAAGTTAGCCTGGCCAGCCAGACTCGCTCTGTGCAGAATTGAACAGAGTGAGTCTGGCTGGCCAGGCTAAAAAAATAAGGTCCAGGTTGAAAATGCTGCATGTGTCAGTGATGTTGTTGTACCAGAAGTTTGACAGCCCTAGTTTAGATTAGTGACTGAGTGTCTTTGCAGCACAGCTTGGTTATTATATAACAAACTAACTTCTTGGCTTCAACAGGCTCGGTCAGCTCTCAGTGTACACATTTCAGAATTTGTATATTTCATTATCCTGTGTTTGATGTTAAACAATGTGCATCATGCAATAGCAAAGCTCAATGCACAGCTGCTGTATGTGTGTTTGTATGAATGTTCTAGATTTTATTTTTCTCTTGCTATTTTTCAAAAACCTTTCTGTGAGATTTGCCTTGACTAAGTACTAATTACGATTATTTTCACAGAGCCATTATGTCCACAAGAAAGAGGAGGAAAAAGCCTATAGATGATGCAAAGACACACATCCTGTCCTGTACTGACAAGGTTGGGTTTATGTCGAGATACATTGACGGTTACAAAGGTAATTTGCGAAAATTTCTTGACACAACTTGTGTTTTTCAAAAGCAAAGCAGTTGACAAGTTGACAAGTAATTAAAATTGCGCCCACATTTTCAAAGTTAAACACATTTCTTTTAACAACGGTAGTTTTTTCATCTTTACTGCAAACTCACTGATGCGCCTGCAGCCTCTCAGAGTTCATGCTGCTCTAAACATTGAAAGAATGATTTAATTTTCTGTTGCTGACTTCTGATTACCTTAAATGGTGTCTGTTTGTTGCTACCAGCAGGTACAAAAAGGAACTTATTTTTATTTGACTATTTTTCTGTCCTGTCTGTTTATCATCTTCCTACATCTCATCTCAATCCTAAAGAAAAACTGCTATCTGGCTTCATATATATTCACCTTATGAGTTACCTTTGAACTGCAGTTCTAAAAGATCTACCGACCGCAAATATAGAGGAGTGTGTGCTACGCACAGACCGCATCAGTGAGGTGAAGTCACAGCAGAATGAAACAGGTGATGCGCTCTGCTCCACAGCAGCAAAATGCATCAGGCACAAATAAAAGACAGAAAACATGAAGGGATATGAGCCGACATGAACGATTACGTGTTAAATTTGTTTTTGAGATGGCGACACTTTGAGAATGTAGCGGTGGCTGTGCTCAGGATGCATCTGTCTGGAGCGCATCAACGATCAGAGCTCTGCGCCTCTCAGCTCTAAATAATCTTGGAGAGTTCACATAGATAATGTAATATAAGTGGAACCATTGATTTTTCGAAAAAAATGGTAAACTATTGTGTGGAGGATCTACAGACTCCAGTAGTCTGTAGATGAACAGCACCTTCTTCCTTTTCTGGTGCATTTTGTGCAGCTGAAAACACGGTCGTTTCTGCTTCACACCAGACCAGAGGATTACAATCCCAGTGATGTGACGGGAGTTCAACATGCCTCCTATCCTCCAGAGCCACTTGGTGGAGTTTTGAAAAATATTTGATGGCTCCTACCCAGATCAGCATTGGAGCTCTAGAAGAGGATAGAGCTTTCAAAAATTCCTAGTGAGGCGGGGATGCTGGTTTCTTGGTCAGAACTGGCTAGGAACTTGTGCTCCTAACCTCAAGAAGAGGATGCAAAGCTTTTAAAAGATGCTAGCGGGCTAGGGAAGCTGGTTTCTGGGTTGTGCTCTGGATAAGATGACATGCGTCTCTCCCTCTCTCTAAAGCGCTAAGCTACATTACGTGAATGGATATTAACAAGTATTAAACAGCTGACAAATGCTCATTGCCAAGAATCAATATTATATTAACTGACCAATAATATTTTAATTGTCTACACCAGGGATTCCCAAAGTGTGGTGCCGCTAGGGGGTGCGCAAGGTGAAAAGTGTAATGGCTGCGGAGCTCAGAGAAGTCTGTCAAAAGTCACCATTAGCGTAGCCAGAAACTCATTTGTGGGTGGGCCTAAGAAAATGTAAGTGGGCCCAATGAACGTAATTGAAAACAAGTATATTTTGCTTGTGTGTGTGTGTGTGTGTCCTCCGCACATGCCCTAGCTCAGGGGTCGGCAATCCGCGGCTCTGGAGCCGCATGCGGCTCTTCCATGCGGCTCTCTGTGCTTGTAAAATAATGAATGGATATTTAAATAAAATGCTTTGTATTTTACTGAATTAATTTTACATCTGTAAGCTAATTCTAAATGTAGATTGTCTGCGTAAACCTGAACAGGTCCAACCCGGTCTTACTGTGAGACCGGGTTGACGCGTCACGCATGTGCGTAAACATAGGCGCTTTCTGAGCTGAAGACGATGTGAGATTCTGGGACTCTCCTCAGACGCCACATTGGAGACAGGAACAAGCACAATTCAGCCAAAGTTTCATCATCACGGAACATTTTCTAAGTGACAAGTCTCTCTGAGAGACCGGGTTTTGAAAACTCTCGCTTCAGTGGAAGGAATCTTCCCGCATACGCTCTGTTTCTGCGACGTGCTCCAAGCCCCTCTCCACACCTTCTGCTCGCTGTGCACCTTATGTACGCGCTGACTGAGCGGTGTTCAGCTCAGATGTTCAGAAGGAAATCTTTTCTTGAGTGATTTAGCTTCATCTGCGATTTGCGTAGAATAAAGTGTCAGTTCGTCTACATGCGTCGGGGTAATTCTTTCTATTCTTTCTCCATCAAAAATAAACGGTCAAATACGGGAACTATCCGGTCAACACAAGCCCTGCTTTTAACTGTTCTGTTTTCTTGTGAAAATTGTTACAAATTTAACTTGATTAACACCAGAGCCAGGCGCACTGCGCCGTTGTCTCGGTCACTGTAAATGAGGGAGAAACAAAATGATCGGATCCTTTTCTGACCTTCCCCACCTACAAAGTTTAATTACAACAATCAAACGTGACAGAGCCTGGATTTGTATTCTGAACAGTCTAAACATGTTTTAAAAAGAAACGTATGACAAAAGTGGCACCTGCTCAGTAAAACCACCCACAGGGTGAAAAATATCAAAATATTGTAGGCAGAGACGGGCTACAACTTCTGGATCCACTTTATATAAATTGTTTTATTGATTACCTTCTTATGAAAGATAACTTTGACGTACACGAGCGACCGGTACCGGCTGCTGTCACCTGTTGTTAGCAGCGCTCTGCTGTCTGAGGGTAGGCCCCGCCCACAACGCCGCAGCTGCTGCAGTGTTTTCTTTACTGTGGGAAACGGGTAATAATGGCTCTTTGATGGGAACAGGTTGCCGACCCCTGGTTTAGCGTGACGTCTGATATGTGTGTATATATATATATATATATATATATATATATATATATATATAGCCATGCCCTGATGTGGGGCTGGGGGGTGTGTCAACATGGTCGGGACATAGAAGGGGGTGCGCGGCTAAATAAGTTTGGGAACCACTGCTCTACATGACAGTAACATTTTGTTAGCGCACGAGTTGTAGCAAGCTAGCTAGCATCGTTCACTCACAGAGACACCTGCTCCTCCACAGAACCTCCTGACACCACAGATAAATCTCTCTGCTTTGGCTGATGATTTCTCCCTCTGGTTTGTCTCTAAGCTGCAGTTTGCTCTTTAAGGCAAATTTAATCTGTATTGATCCAAAAATGACAAGGAAAGGGTGAAGTTAGTAGGGATTGCATTATTAAACATTAAAAGTAGATGTCATCATTCACATGAATGAATTTCAGTTCTTTTCTTGTTTCTCTTGGCCTGTTAGGACTTATGTGTCATCTACTGAGCTCCTAAGGTATTTAAAAAGCATTTATTTAGATTTTTAAAAAAGATGCAGGAACCTTGAAATAGCACTTTCTTCTCTATTTCTTCCTCTGCATACATTTTTTCCTCACAATCTCTGGGTGTCAAATCTCAATTATTACAAACTTGTAAATCATAATGTCATTGCACTTGTGAAAATAGATTTAAATGCATTTTTAGTTTACTGCAACTTAAAGCTCATTTGCACCATACATTATTGAACTAGTCAATCTATTTGTTGTATATACATTTGTTATATTGCTTTTCTGTCTCATATATTGCAAATAGGAATACTTTTTTGTATTGCTATTTAATATATAGTTCCATGCCTTGCTGTGGCCCCACTGTAATTTTCCAGTCTAGGATCCATCTACATCTGTTTGTCGGTTTATGTCAAGTCTGAGTTGCATGGGTTAGGGTGCATCTGTGTTGTTACACTTCACTGGTGTGTTACGTGGACCAAATGGTACACAGCACTCTCAGATTAAGGGAAAGTAACAGAGCATAGACAGGACCTCAGTGATACATTCATATGGATGGGTTGGCATCAAAAACATGTTTTGGCCACAGAAAGCCTGATCAAAAATCTGTTTACCTGCAAGGAGAATGTTGAGCATTGTCTGCAGGTTATATACCGACTAGACACAAGAACCTCAGCCTCACTTTAAAATACTGTAGTATCTCTTTTGAGTCCCAGAATGAAATGTTTAATTATTATATATTTTATAGGAAGAGGAGTGTTTGCCACACCCCCCAATGAACCAGGGGACTTCGTCTTGGAGTACAGGGGTAAACTCCTCACAAAGGAAGAATGCGAGTCAAGACGATACTCAGAGACTGAAAGCAAATTTCTCTTTGGCTTTAAGTGGCAGAACCATTGCTTATGGTAAACATGGAAAAATGGATGATTTTTTATTGATTAGAGAAATTCCGAGTTATCCCTGGAACAAGGGTTTAATACTTGATAAACTAATTAAAGCACAAATATTAAAATCTTTTGAAAACAATTATTTCAATAAAACTGTTAAAAAATGTAAAACTATTACAATTTTTTTTAATACTTTTCAGCCTGGATGCATCTGAAGAAGATGGCTCTCTCGGAAGATTGGTCAATGACAACCACAAAAATCCTAATTGCGTTATGAAAAAAATCATAGTTGACAACAAACCACATTTGTGCCTTTTTTCTCTGAAGAAAATAGAAATAGGAGCTGAAATTTATTACAACTATGGTGATTCAAAATGGCCTTGGCGCAGTAAGGTGAGTTGGTTGCTATTTCTCCAATATTAACCATGCTTCCAATATTACTCTTGGTTGTCTATGGAAATGCATTTCATCTTTGATCTGTGATATGTTTTATTCATCTACAATCCAGGTGGGAAAAAACAAGGCTCCTGCAGCAGCAAAAGAGAACCTATTGGGTGGGGAAGGCCAGGTAATGCCACACACACCGTCATGTTTCCAGTCATGTTCTTATGGGGTCCTTCCATCTTCCAAACACATTTCTATCTGGAGTCTCTCCTTTACACACTCGTATGTGTCTAGTCTGACCCAAGTGGGGCCCTTCCGTCCAGTTCTTCTTGTAGATGTTTTTAGTGCACTATGGTAACACCAGACATGACCTCAGCTGTGATTTTAACATTCATAATTGTATACCGTCTGAGCTGTTACATGTTTTAAACCAATATTTTGATTCATCCACTGTGAACTCCTGGAATCGTCATGAGAGCTGCTCATTACCAGTAGTCCAGAAGGCCACGCCATGTTCTCAGTTGTCGTTCTGTGCTGCTGTTTCACAGTTAGATGATCTTTTTTGCCTTCGAAAGTCTCTTCATATAGTTCTGAGTCTTTTGTCTGTTATCTATATTTCAGATGAAAGGCCTTCAGACTCCTGCTGCAGCAGAAGAGAATGAGGCCAGCCCTGTTCCTCAGATGCTTAATGATGGACCAATCCCAGATGAGACCTACACACAGGTAAGAGTACATTCAAACACCTTCTTCTGTGCTAACATGTATGTGGTGTTGTTCTACTACTAAACTGGACCAATGCTCATGTGGCTGTATGGTAGTCAGGTGAACCTATTGGGTGGGGAAGGCCAGGTAATGCCACACACACCGTCATGTTTCCAGTCATGTTCTTATGGGGTCCTTCCATCTTCCAAACACATTTCTATCTGGAGTCTCTCCTTTACACACTCGTATGTGTCTAGTCTGACCCAAGTGGGGCCCTTCCGTCCAGTTCTTCTTGTAGATGTTTTTAGTGCACTATGGTAACACCAGACATGACCTCAGCTGTGATTTTAACATTCATAATTGTATACCGTCTGAGCTGTTACATGTTTTAAATCAATATTTTGATTCATCCACTGTGAACTCCTGGAATCGTCATGAGAGCTGCTCATTACCAGTAGTCCAGAAGGCCCAGCCATGTTCTCAGTTGTCGTTCTGTGCTGCTGTTTCACAGTTAGATGATCTTTTTTGCCTTCGAAAGTCTCTTCATATAGTTCTGAGTCTTTTGTCTGTTATCTATATTTCAGATGAAAGGCCTTCAGACTCCTGCTGCAGCAGAAGAGAATGAGGCCAGCCCTGTTCCTCAGATGCTTAATGATGGACCAATCCCAGATGAGACCTACACACAGGTAAGAGTACATTCAAACACCTTCTTCTGTGCTAACATGTATGTGGTGTTGTTCTACTACTAAACTGGACCAATGCTCATGTGGCTGTATGGTAGTCAGGTGAACCTATTGGGTGGGGAAGGCCAGGTAATGCCACACACACCGTCATGTTTCCAGTCATGTTCTTATGGGGTCCTTCCATCTTCCAAACACATTTCTATCTGGAGTCTCTCCTTTACACACTCGTATGTCTAGTCTGACCCAAGTGGGGCCCTTCCGTCCAGTTCTTCTTGTAGATGTTTTTAGTGCACTATGGTAACACCAGACATGACCTCAGCTGTGATTTTAACATTCATAATTGTATACCGTCTGAGCTGTTACATTTTTAAACCAATATTTTGATTCATCCACTGTGAATACCGCATCCAGTTTAAGGTCTTAACTATTGTTTACAATGCCCTAAATGGTCCAGCTCCCGCTTCCCTGTCAGAACTGCTCAAGCCATATGTACCATCCAGAAGCCTAAGATCGGCAGATCACCTGCTCTTTTGCACCCAAAGATGAAATATAAATCCAGTGGGGAGCGGGCCTACGTGTTTGCTGCCCTCAAACTTTGGAATGCTCTTCACCTCAGTGTTCGACAGGCCCCGTCACTGTGTCGGTTCAAGTCAGTGCCGAAGGCCTATTTTTATCATTAACTTTGATCAATGATCAGGCTGTTAGTGTTTTAGTCTGTGGTGTCTTCCCTGTTGACATGTGCTTACCTTTTAGTATGTTTTTTTTAAATATTTTTAGTCATGACCTTGTTTTTACTCGTTATTTTTTTTTTATCTTTTAATTCTTTTAATTTATTATCCCTTTTGTCCTTTATAATTTTTTTCAATCTTCTTTGTTATTTCGGGGTTCTTTTTCTAACTTCGTTCGGTGTTTCACTACGGGGAATCGCCCTGGCGTGACCAACTACGGAAGCTCCATTGACATCACGTCTGTCCCTGACAGACTGGTAGCGCCGTGCCCAGGCTCCGCCCACCCAGTATATACACGGCCAACCAACCCCTCCTACTCATTCTCGCTTTCTCACTTTCTTCCCGTGAGAAACTACACTTTGCTCCCTCAGCGATTTTCAGGCTATCTTTGGTCAGCTGCTTAACTGTTCCCAGGCGTACCATCAGGATCCGTCGCCGAACGCAGTCCCAATGCAGTCTGGATTAGAGCTGAGTAAGTGTTTCTAAGTCACTTGGCACACTTTGCTAGGAACCATTACCGCGTCACGGCGAACTGCTCCCGCGGCTACTCGGTTGTCATTGACGGAGTAGTATTAGCGAGTGTGGCTCAAGCTAACGCGTTGTTGCGAGCTTGTCCTGTTCTTATTTAGCATTTACTCGCTAATGAGCTATTTTGTTGCAGCTAACGTGTCACGACGAGTTGTCCTACATATAAAATATAGCTATAGTTGCAGACTTACACCTGCTAACTAGCTTGCTAACGCTTTTTCAGGCTAATCTGTCACGACCAGTCGGTTTTTCAGCTATGGCTTCCACCCCTACCCAGACGGAAGGGTCGGAACCAAAGGCTAAAGAGGCTGCATCCCGCCTGTGCCCGGCGTCATGTGGGGCTTCTATTTCAGGCAGGGACCCTCATCCTATTGTCATAGTGTGCATGGGTGCTGCTCACGCCCAGGCATCGCTGGCTAACCCGCAGACATGCCCTCACTGCTCCTCCATGCCAGAGAAAAAGGAGGCTTAGAGTGGCAGTGGCTAACGGCCGGAACCCAGGCCTCGGCTTGGCCACACCTGTGATGCAGGTGACAACCATCAGCCGCGAGCCTCCACAAGTTGGGCAGATATGATGGAGGAGGAGCCCCCGCTACCACTTCTGTTCGAGGGACTGGTTGACAGTGGGCTGCTCGATGCGGGTGATGACCTCCTCTATTTGGACATGGACGAGGAGGAAGAGGATTCCACCTTCCCGGCTCAACACTCTAGGCCACCTAGCGGTACTGGGGTGGCATCACAGGGGGACACCGACGTGTACGAGGTTTGCAGGCGAGCAGCTGCAAAGCTCAACATTCAGTGGCCGGCAGCCCAAGGGACAGAAGGGGTGGAACGAGACCTGTATGAGGCTTCCACTGTCCTCCGCTCCACCCAAGTGTTACTGGTCTAGCTCATTTAAAAGCAAACTCCCCACCAAGGGATACTCCAAACTGGAGGTGCATGGGATGGGGGAATTGGGGCTGGCCGAACCCCCAACTGTGGAGCCTTCAGTGGCATACCACCTTCACCCCAACCGCAGATCCGTGTCAGCGTCATCCAGCATCTCTCTCCCATCTAAAACGGATCGTCTCACGGCATCCATTTTTCAGAGGATGCACACATATGCTGGCCAATCTGTGTGTTCCCTCAATGCAGTTACTCTAATGTCAGCTTATCAAGGAGAAATCCTGGAGAAAATGGGTCGTCAGCTGGACTCTTGGGCGCCTAACCCGGCTTTATGGGATGAAATCTGTGTGGTGAATGATCTCATCCTGCACTCTTCTAGAGGAGCAGTCCAGGGCTGTGGACGTGTGATGGGTTTGGCTGTTTCAGGTGAGAGAGCCTTGTGGCTAAACTTGTCAGGCCTAGGTGACAGCCAGAAAGCTGATGTCATGGATGCAGCATTTGACCCTGTCAAAGGTCTCTTTGGCCCGCCCTGGAGAAGATGACTGAGACAAGCACCCACAGGAAGCAGGAAGGTGAGGCCCTCAATCTCTGCTTGCCTCGTAAACATAACCCTCAGCCACCTCAGGCACCCAAGCCTGGGTTTGCAGCAGCTGCCCCAGCGGCAAAGGGTCAACAGGGTGGGGCTAGACCACAGCGATCGGCAGGTGGTCAGCCAAACAAGGCGGAGAACCCTCGCCCATGGGGGAAGCACTCTTTCGCAGCAGCAGCCGCGAGGAACCGCCCGTCTCACCCCAGCGAGGGCAAGAGGAAGAAGTCATCCTAGCTGCTCTTGCTTCTCCTCTCCAGAAAAAGAGGAGGTTTTCAGAGGTACAAACAGACCTCTGTGTTCAGGGTTCAGACACTCCTGTGGTTCCCGGTCCAGCAGGAGTGGCGAGTGTGTGGAGCAGAAAACGCAGTGTCACCAAACACTTTTCATGAGCATGCAGTTAGTGTCACCAAGCACTTTGTTCCCAGATGTGTGCAGAAATGTTCAGGGGGGTCATTTAAAAATAAAGACGGCTTTTCTGCAGCCAGGCGTTCAGTCAAGGGCAGACAGCTCCCCACAAAAAATAATAAACAAACCCCATCAGGTCCCTCTGCGCCCAGCAGAGGGCCCTCTCACTCTTCCCACGGGACGAGTCGAGGCTGCTCAGGTGACGGAGATGACGTCACCCAACAGCGGCTTGCTTTCGGCGCGGGCCAAGAGGTGGCGCGCATGCGCAGTTCCCTCGTGGGTTCTGATGACAGTTTGTTGGGGTTCCAGGCTTCAGTTTGCCTCAAAACCTCCCTGTTTCAATGGGATAATAACGTCAGTGGCAAGAGAGGATTCGGCACATATCCTGGAAAACGAAATTGCTTCACTGTTGAACAAAAAAAGCGATCAGGATGGTGCCGAGCGACGAGGCCCACCAGGGTTTTTATTCGCTCTACTTCCTTGTTCCACAGAAGGACGGGAAATCTCTCCGTCCCATACTCGACCTGCATGTGTTAAACAAACACTTACGCAAGTACACTTTCAGAATGTTGACTCACAAAACACTCTGCCGTTCCATCTGCCCAGGAGATTGGTTTGTCACGATTGACCTCGCAGATGCCTATTTTCACATCTCTATTTATCCTCTACACAGGAAGTTTCTCAGGTTTGCCTATCGGGGCACAGCCTACGAGTTTCAAACCATCCCGTTCGGGCTGTCATTAGCATCGAGGGTTTTCACCAAGTGTGTGGAGGCAGCGCTGTCCTCACTGAGGACTCGCGAGATCAGAATTTTCTCTCACATAGACGATAATCTGATTTGCGCTCCCTCCCGGGAGCAAGCAGCCAGCGACGCGCTGGTGGTGTTGAGCCATCTGACCGACCTGGGATTGAAAATAAACTGGACAAAGAGCAGTTTATTCCCCAGACAATGCACAGAATATCTGGGTCTTCAGATAAACTCTCTCTCTTATCGCGTTTCGCTGTCAGAAGAGGATTGCGTCCTTCACACAGTGTGTCGCACGTTTTCAGTTAGGATACCGTGCGTCGTACAGACTTTGCCAGCGCCTTCTCGGCCTCATGGCGTCAATGATTTCTGTGGTGCAACTGGGGCTTCTTATGATGAGAGATGTTCAGTGGTGGGTGAGGTTGTTAAGACTATGCTCCCGCCGTCATCTCCACCACAGAGTGAAGATAACTCCGGCGTGCATGTCAGCTCTCCAGCCTTGGAGAGACTGAACAGTTCTCACAACTGGGGTTCCGCTGGGGGCGGTGGTGTCCAGAGTTACCATGACGACGGACGCGTCTCTTACAGGTTGGGGGGCCACCTTGATGGGGAGAGCAGTGAACAGCGTTTGGTCACGCAGTTTGAAACAGGTTCACATAAATGTGCTGGAACTCCTAGCAGTGTTTCTGGCCTTAAAACACTTCCTGCCCTACTTAAGGGACCGTCATGTCTTAGTGAAGACAGACAACACCACAGTGGTAGCTTATATCAACCGTCAGGGCGGGACACTCACCCTACAGCTGCACTCACTGGCCAAGGAAATAATTGTGTGGTGCAGCTCCAGACTCCTCTCAGTCCGCGCAACACATGTGGCGGGCAGCTTGAACAGAGGGGCAGACCTTCTGTCCAGAGGAAATCCTCTGTACGGAGAATGGAAACTCCACCCCAAGGTGGTGCACCAAATATGGCTGAGATTCGGTCAGGTTACCGTAGATCTCTTCACCTCGTGGGAAAGCGCCCACTGCCCACTCTTCTTCTCCCTGACAGACGCGGACGCGCCTCTGTGAGTTGACGCATTGGCTCACCAGTGGCCAAGAGTGCTGCTGTACGCGTTTACTCCTCT